TATATATATATATATATATACACACACACACACACACAGGTATGTATTTGTTCTGTTCTTCTTTGTTTCTGTATGTGTGTGCACAGACACACACATACCCACTCGCCTATATGTATACACACACACACACACACATACATATATTCATATATATACATATGGACCTGCTGTGGCATAGTGCCTAAGGTATTTGACTGCTAACCAAAAGGCTAGTAATTCAAACCCACCAGGCACTCTGTGGAAGGAAGACTGGGCAATCTACTTCCATAAAGACTTATTCCCTTGGAAACAAAAAGAGGGTCTCTATGAGTCAGAATCGACTCAATGGCAGTGAGTTTGTTTTTTTGTTTTATATATATATATGCATACATACATATACATATATACATACACACACATATACCTGTACACACACACACACACATATAGAGAGAGAGAGACATTGATTTCAAGGAATTGGCATTGGCTTTGCCTTTACTTGATTGCAGGGGCTGGAAGGTCTGCAATTAGTAAGACAGACCGGCAGGCTTTAAACTCTCTGGAAGGAGCTGATGCTGCAGTACTTTTTCATCAGATAAATCTCAGCTTCTGCTTTTAAGGCATTTCCCGTCATTGGGTGAGTCCCACCCACATTGTCAATAATAATCTTCTTAGTTAAAGTCAACTAACTATAAATGTCAACCACGTGGACAAATTTCTTACACAGCAACACTTAGGTATGTAATGGAATAATTCATTGAGTAACTCTGTGCTATATCCTAGCCCTGCTTGTGCAGTGGTTAAAGAACTTGGCTGCTAAACAAAAGGTCAGTGGTTCAAATGTACCAGCTGCTCCTTGGACGAAAGATGTGACAGTCTGCTTCTAAAACCCTATGGAGCTGCAGAATCCCTAAAGGGAAGCTCTGCCCTGTCCTATAGAGTTGCTATGAGTTGGATTCAGCTTGACAGCAGTGGATTTGGTTTGGTATAGCCTAGCCAAAAGATCCCTGGTGGTGCAGTGGTTAAGCCTTTGGCTGTTAACTTGGCTGTTAACTGAAAGATTAGTGGGTTGAAACTATAAGCTGCTCCTCGGGAGAAAGATGTGTCTGTCTGCTTCCATAAAAATTATAGACTTGGGCCTATGGGTATAGCTTGGCCAAGTTATCACATTTTACTAACCATCACATCATATACCATATGTAAAACTATGCTACTGTTTTTATTAGGTTCTGATCTTTTAATTCCTGAAGGGTCATTACAAAATTGAGGGTATTGCATCCTAATCCCATTTTCTCCATGAACTCTGTGGCTTTTATTGTACAAGTTTCAAAGCATGGTGATTTTTAGGAACACATATATATTGCTTTATAGCAGAACTTACTACATTCAATATAACAAAATGTTAATATTGTCTCTCGGCAGTAATTTATTTGTTGCTTGTCCGCAGTTTCTAGATTTTTTCTGAACAATCATGAATTAGCAGTTTAATTAAACCTACAAATACATTTTTAAAAGATGAGGTGATAGTTAAAAGATGTTGTTGTTTGCCATCCAGTCAGATCTTACTCATAGCAACCCCTCCTAGGGTTTCTGAGGCAGTCACTATGGAAATAGATTGCCCAACCTTCCTTTGGAGGAGTGGCCACTATTTTAGGTGAAGTGTTGAAAGTTATTCTGATAAACTCAGCAGGCTCACTGGCCGTGTAATCAACAAATGCCCTCTGGCTCCTCCTAGAACAAAGGAGAGGCATCACAGCAACATCTGCCGCCTTCTTTAATCGGGGAGTCCCCATAAGCTACAAAAATTGATAGGATGTGAGTAGTCAAAGTTCCATTAATCAATAGTAAACCAAATGTTCCTAAATTGGTTGAATTGAGAACATTTGAAGTTAAGCTGATTCAGATCCAAAAACACGTAGGCAATAATTAGCATTATACTCAGTGCTTACTGATTTCCAAGCAAAATATTAATAAATAAGATTGGAGCATTTCCAGGAAATGTAACTCTGTAAAGAAACTAAAAATTGGAACACAATATGAATTTTGAAAGAGAGAAAAAGATGAATTTCCCTTATGTAATTTGACTTGAGATTCCACCCACTTTCTCAGAGTGAACTTTCTTTCACCTGTATGATCACATTTTCTTTTATTCCTTTTGCAAGGCATTTTTTGCATTTCTCTCTCCTTTTCTTTTCCTTTTTTTTTTTTTTAAAGTGATGGATTGCTTTAGCTGCAGGCAAACTGCACTGTTGGGGCACACCTAGCTGAGTATTCCCCTGCCCTGCCCCACATTCCCCGGGGAGAGTGTCCGCCCACTGAACTCTGAACTCTCTGGTCCTTGATCCCTGTATTTTCCTGTTTAGCTACACGGAATCTACTGTTTTCCCGGCTCTCTTCGGAGCTCTGTTTCTAGCTGTTCTCTGACAAAGCGCTTGTTTTGTGCTGCACATCTCGTCCTCTTTGTTGTGCCTCTGGCTACAACCACTGAACCCCAAATATTCTCCAGCTGGGAATCAGACAAGGGCAGAGATGAGGAACGCCGGAGCTCAACAGGATGTGACCGTTTCTCAGGGAGTCCGCGTGATGTTTTACATGATGAAGCCCAATGAAACGTCATTCCAAACCTTAGAAGAGGTGCCCAATTACGTAGAAAAGGTGAGACTATGTGGGAAGAGGCTTGCTGTTAGTCTTAATAAGGAGTAAGTGAAAAACATCCCGGCGTTTTGCTCACTTTCATTCTTCAAATTATTAAATTGCTACACCCTATGGCATTGCCCATTTACCTATTGGTAGCCCGATAGACTTCATAAAAATTTTTGTTTTTCAAATGGTAAACATGGACACCACCTCACAATAAATTATTTCTTTTTTAATTCAGTTGATTATTTCTGTAGAATGAAGGATCATTCCTGACTGAGTACAACTCTGACTTCCAAAATTTGAACTTGAACCAAGTTTTCTTTGAAATTCTGAAGTGTTCAAAGGCACTTTTCATTTTTGGTTCCTGGCTATGATTGGAAGTGGAAATATCTAGAACCTGAGTAATGAAGTTCCTCACCCTGTTTACAGTTGTTTTTACAGTATTTTCTAGTTCAGGCCAATTAAAAAAAAAAAAAAAAAAGACAGAGAAAATGTTCATGGGAGTTCATTTTAGAGAACTTCAAAACTCATAATCAACACTCAAATTAGAGTGAAACCTATATTCTTTTCAGGATTTGATATTGCTCCTTCTTTTGATATTCTTAAGGAAAAAAAAAAAAACAAGTGGATACTCACATCTTTACATGCACTGCCATGGAGTCAGATCAGACTCATAGTGAACTTTCCCTGGGTTTCCGAGGCGGTATAGCTAAGGAAGTAGATTGCCCAACCTTCCTTCCCAGGAGTGGCTGGTAGGTTTGAACCACCAGCAGTCTGGTTAGCAGTCAATTGCCTTAGGCACTACACCACCAGAGCTCGCATTGTTGTTGATGTTGTTATGTGCCTTGGAGTCGACTGACTCATAGCGATCCCTCCTTGGGTTTCCGAGGCAGTATCAGTATGGAAGTAGATTGCCTCATTTTTCTTTGGAGGAGTGGCTGATGGGTTTGAACCCCCAGCCTTCTGGTTAGCAGTCAAGTGCCTTAGTCACTGCGCTACCAGAGCTCCCAGACTTTCCATTACAAGACATTATTATTTATATTGAAACAAAAGCACAATTTGATGCTAAGGCACTTGACTGCTAATTAGAAGGCTGGAGGTTCAAACCCACCAGTCACTCCTCGGAAGAAAGGTTGGGCAATATGCTTCCGTAGTGATACCACCTCGGAAACCCAAGGAGGGGTCGCTATGAGTTGGGTCTGACTCCATGGCACATAACAACAGGAACAACATGTCATTAATACTGGTGTCTTAAAAATACAATTGAAATGAGATTCGAGCAGAATGAATAAAGCCCGACTATTGAGTCAGAATCGATTCCAGGGCCACAGTTTTGTTTTTTGTTTTTTTTTTGTAGTGGGTATTTAAAAAACACATATATATCACCTTATTCTCTGAAATACTCTGAGGGAAATTGTTTGTTGTAACAGTTTAAATTTTCTTGTCAAATGTAATTTGGGTACTTCTTATATGAAAAACTAGAATTGCATTTATCTCTAAGGAAAACTTCTCAAAGTGAGTTAAAATTAGTCATAGATAATAATAGTTGCTAGACTTCAAATTATTTAACTTTAAAAATTTTTTTTTTAGTTACAACTGAAAGCATGTCCTTCCTATCCTTATGAATTTTTTGGTACAATTATCATGGTTATATCTATGGTTACATTTCATTTCCATATTTGATAATATAATTGGGCCCATGGTAAGTGTATATACAAAATAATTTGACCTCTTTTCCCATTGGGCAGAAATGACCTCTAGGATAGGTGTACACCCTGTGTGGTTTCACACTGGAATGAATAATCAGGAAATGTGGAAGGCTTTCATACCAAGCAGGGTTGCATTTCTTCATTGGAGTTTCTTTTCCAGGCGACTCCATTTTTCATTTCCTTGATGCTACTTGAATTGATTGTCAGCTGGATTTACAAAGGGAAACCACCAGGTCGTCTGGATAGTGCCTTGACATCTATATCTGCTGGTGTTCTGTCTCGGCTTCCAAGGTGATTTAGATGGTTAGCAATACTAAGTGAATGAATAAATTGAAGTTTTCCAAATGTGAGTGAAAAGGAACTCATGGCATCACAGAATTCAGTTCCTGTCTTTATTTCAAATTATAATTTTTTATTCATCCTAGACTTTTTGCATTCAGTTCTAAAAATAATACACTAAATATTATTTATTCTGACCACCAAGTGTTTTGAAATCATAAATTTTCTGCCTAATTGCAGTACCCTCCCTAGTTTCAGCCCTGGTTATGGTCAGTTATCTTTTGAAAATTTACTTTGTCTCAACCAACTTCATATAAAATAGCAATCTGGGGTAGCCTCTCCCTTGCACAGGTCACACAAATCTCTGGATTGCTATAATGATCTCCTAATTGGTGTTCCTGTCTCCAGTCCTACCCATTTTCAGCTGAACATTTCTGTAATGTGTATCTGATGAAAACCATTCACTGGTTCCATATTGCCCTGAATATAATGTTCAGTTTCCAGACCTACAGAGTTTTTCATCTCTCCAGGTTTGACTCTGTTTCCTCCTCTCATCTTCTTTCTTGAAATTTTTGTATCCAAACTGTGCTATATGTCGTTGCCCAGATGCCACATGGCTTCCTTCTGCATGGAAATCCATCTATGTGGACAATTCCAATTAAATTCTTAGGTCCAAGCACAGACATCACACTCTTCAGGAAGCCTTACCTGTTCTCTGCACCCTGTGCAGGGACTACTTCCCTAAGCTCCCACAGAAACTGGTGCTTACTCCATATACAGTAAATGTCACAGGACATTTTGGTCACTTTCCCCCCAGCTTGTGTGCAACTCAAGAACAAGAAGTTTGCTGTATTCATAATTATATCCCCTGTGCCTAAAATTATGTCTGGTACATGGTAGATGCTCAAAAAAATATATTTAATATACTTAGAATGTTACATTGATGATAAGATTGAGTGAGGAAGAAACCAAATAATAAAACCCATCACTGTTGAGTGGATTCTGATATGTCATAACCCTGTAGGGCAGAGTAGAACTGCCCCATAAGGTTTCCAAGTCTGTAATATTTATGGAAGAAGATTGCCTCATTTTTCTTCCGCTGAGTGGCTAGTGGGTTTAAACCACCAACCTTTTGGTTAACAGTTGAGTTTAACCACTGTACTACCAGGGCTTCTTAACAATATATTAATAATAACAAAAACAAACAAACAAAACACTGCCATCAAAATGATGTCTACTCATAGTGAGGTCCAATGGGTTTCCCGAGCTCTAAATCTTTATGGAAGTGGATTGCCTATCCTCCTTCCACAGAGTGGGTGGTAGTTTTGAACTGTTGACCTGGTTAGCAGCCACATGCCTTATCCACTACACCATGACATGAGAGCTCCTTCACTATTCACTATACCACAAGAGCTCCTTCACCATACAATAACAACAACAACAACAACAACAACAAAAACCCAAACTCACTGCCGTGGGGTCAATTTCAAGTCATAACAACCCCTTCTTGGGTTTTCAAGGTGGTATCTCTACGGAAGTAGATTGCCCAATCTTCCTTCCAAGGAGTGGCTGGTGGGTTTGAACCACCAGCCTTCTGGTTAGCAGTCAAATAAATGCCTTAGGCAGTATGTCACCAGAGCACCCAATAGTGAATTATAAATGATCTACTTCTTTTTGGAAAGACTAAATTAAAATATGTGTAGATGACAGACCAATGAATGAAAGTTATCTTCAGTATGTGCGGATTTACCAAAGAGGCAGAGGAGGAGGGAAGATTCTCTTAGAAGTCTGTACTTTGTGTCATTGTTTAATGTTCTCATTCCTGTTACCCACTCCTTGCTTCTTTTACTGTTTTAAGAGCTTTATTTCTGATGAGTACTCAGTGCTTTGGAATGTTTCTATGAGCCACCCAGTGGGAACCAAGGTGAATTTTTTAAAAATGAAATTAAAACAGTTATTTGAGAAAAGGTAAAATAATTATATACACTTGCATAAAAATAATTAATATAAAAAGTAAACCTTAATGTAAAATCTCTCTCATAAATGTTTATATGAAAAAGGCAGGTTATTAGGTATATAACAAATAATAACAACTCTTTGAAAAACAATTTATATATTTGCATATTGTAGTCATAATCAGTTGTTGTTACCATCAAGTGAGTTCTGAATCATGGTGACCCATGTGTGCAAAGTAGAACTGTGTTCCATAGGGTTTTCAAGACTAAGACCTTTTGAAACAGACTCCACTGCTGTCCTCTGAGCAATCTCTGGGTGAGTCGGAACCCACCTTTCCGTTAGCAGTCAAGCACTTAACTGCACCATGCAAGCATTCCATCAGAGGATGATAATATTACAAGGTTTATGCAGCTAATTCCCATATTGCTCATAAAAAATATTTACAATAATATACAATTTACTCTATTCCATGTCTCCATTGAACAGAACATATGCATTCAACATACTCAAGGCATATGTAGATTTGGTTATTGAAAAATACCCTGTTGTTTACTGTGCTTTGTTCTGAGAAAGTTAAGTGTATAAGTTTATAAAAATTGGAACAACTGATGGATGGCAAAAATAAGTTGTTATCAAAGAGGTGCCCTTCAGGTGCAATGATGCTCACATAGTTTGCTGAGTTGGAATGAAGTTATTATAGCTCAGGGAGACAGAAAGATGAATGAATGCTTCAGCATTTCTTTTTCAAATTTGACTTTGGTTATAAGTAAATTTATTTTTTTCTCTTACCATAATATTGTAAGTACTGGAAATACAGACTGTATGCCTAGTACAATATTTCTGCTCAGCAGTGTGATGAAAAAGGTACAAAGTTTTACCAGGACAAATGGCAATCAAATATATATTTTTGCAAAAATAAAAATGAGAGAGAAATACAGAGAGAAACCAAAACAAACCAGTTGTTCAGGGACAGTACATGCAGTTCTTTTCCTTCACATCCCATCACCTCTAACACTCCCTAAGCTAAGACAAACTGTTAACTCTGGTGCCCTGTGAGAGAAAGGTAAAAGGTTATGAACTTGATTTTGGAGGCTATTTTGTATAGTTGTATTTTGAACAAAAACAGAAGATTGCTCTTTTTTTTAAAATTTTTTCCCTTGTAAGTGTGAACAGAGGTTCAAATATGAGAATTGTTAGTTTGGCAAAGGATTTTATGTTTCATAACCTTTTATCTGAAGGATCTTGGTAAAGAAAATTTCTGAAAATGAAATTTTAAAATATTCTTGTATGTTTTGTTGCTATTTTAAACAAAACAAAACTAGGTATAATCAGAGAAGGAAAGCTGATCCTCTGGACCCACTCAACTCAATTCTCTTTCAGCAAGAACACAGAAGGGAAATTTCACTGAAACTCTTAAAATAATATTCCGCTTGAAGCCACAGCATCAAGGGGAATCCTCGTGTAAATCATTAACAGCTGAGGGTTAGATTAACACGGCATTGATCGTATCGTCTCTGAGGGACTAATTTCATTTTCTACACTAGCATCAAGGGTTTGGCACTTCCTTAAAATGTATGTTTGCAGAAAAAAAATGCCAGCATGCCATTGTAAATCCATTTGTGAAGAATTCTGCTTTGAGTAATAGTTCTAAATAGCCATGTGGCCTCTGAGAAAAGAAGTTGTGGAAATTAAAGTGAAACCCTGAACATGTTTCTCTACTTTCTGATTCATTCAATGAGAATGCTATATTCAGACTTTGAGGAAAAAACAAGGTTGATTTGGGGATCTCAATTTCATCGTTATGTAAAATTTGAAATATCCAAAAAATTAGTGACACTCTTACTATTACTGATAAGAAAGCAGAGCTTCAAACGGCATTCTGGTTTGACCTCCCACTGAGAATTTGTATTTCCACCCCAGATATACTGAATCAGAATCTACATTGTAACAAGATCGCTAGTGATTTTGATAGATTTCCAAGGATCTTGTTAAGATGTAGATTCTGATTCAGTATATCTGGGATAGAAATGCAAAATTCTCAGCTGGGGGTTGGACCACAGTGAACTGGTTTGAAGACTTGCCAGAAAGATACATTCTGTATTTCAAATCTGTATGTAAGGGAAAATATGAATCATGGAGATTATATATTGTTTCTAGGACAGCCTGTGATGCATAATAACAATCTTTGTGTCCTAAGTACCAGAGTTTGGACAGGCCTGCATCTGTGTAGATCTTCTGAAATTCAGTAGGCAGTCTTTCTAGTCAGAATCTAGTCTTGAAGTTATAGACAGATATTTCTAGTTACCGAAATTAAACATCGTATATCATAAGCAGTTATTTTGCCTTTGTAACAATTATTTCCATATGTGACTATAGAGACTTAAACTTGACTTAACAAAATATTTACTAAATCTTTGTTTTCAGAACTTTTTCCCTAAAACTTGTGAAATATTCTGCTACTGACTTAAATGCTAACGAGTGAAAAATAATCACATCTTTTTCCCCCCTGCTTGTTTAAGCAGAACTCAATTTGCAGTTGTTCATTAGAAATCTGGGACCTCAATTTGTTACTTCCTTCCAATGTTTCTGCTTCCATAAATTGCATCCTCCCTAGAGAAGTTTTATTCCCGATATAAATATCTACAGTAGGTTTGTTTTTAATGGGTTCATTTATTCTGTTGAAACAGCAGATTATAAATCAAATCGCAGTAAGTTGGAGGGAAAATGTAAGTAGGCAAATTTTCAAATAAGTTGGGGACATTCTACTTTTAATATACATGGGTCACTGCCAGTTTTTACTATAGAGCTAGCTCTGCAACGCTCACCCATATATATGCACGGTTTTACTGGCTATGCCTGCTATGGAATTTTCCATTCTTGACAAGAAAGTTTCAATTCATCCAAAAAAACAAATGTTTAAAAAGGAGGAAATTAAATTTTTTTGAAATACTTTTGACTCTTGGGGGGTTCTGCTGAAAGTAAAGGAAAGTTGTGTACTGAGTTTTGATACTGTGCTTTTAACATCAGAGGCAACAGTACTGCTGGAGGCAACATCA